CCGTTTACGTGAGGTATGAATGAAGATTATTTCTATTCTTACCTTACATAAATGGTGCCCATTGGTTTGTACAGCACTTTCTGTCTTAACGTATAGCCTTACCTTACGTTAATTGTGCAGTGTGAATCAGCCTTTACTCTAAAATGGTTCACTTTAGTGTTTTTTACAAGGGGAAAGGGAAGATATCCCTTACTTATGGTACATCATATAAAAGAGTGTATTAATCAAAAGAGTGAATATTTGCTATAATTATCCAGAACTCATTATAAAAGTACACAATTCATATTAACAAGCAAATCACCTTATGCCTACAGCAAAAATGGTTTTAGCTCATCGGTACAAAAAATCACAAAAATGTTCTTCTTAGTTTTTGTCATTTTCCCCTTGAAAAATCCCCAATAAAACTCCTATAGCATGAATTATGATAACTATAAGTTTCAATTTCTATGCTTGAATGAACCTTGATAATTATAATCAGGGATATAATAGACTAACGTAACCGGGATTAGCAATGGGATCACGTGAGCGCATCAATTGTGTATAAAAACTTTTTGCAGTCTCTGTTATGATTTTCAAGATGGCGGCTGTCAATGTCTGGAGTATGAAGTTGCTCCTTTCTCTTTTAAAAATGTATTTAGCTTTGTGAAAAATCTACTGCAAAGTTATAATGGCGGCTTCAAGGTTCTGATAGGTTATTGTAAATTAATATTTGTTTTAAATTGTTTAAATCTTCAATTTGCAGCTAAAATTCCATTTGCGTACCTCTGTAGCCCAAATATTTGTTTCTATGAGTGTATTTTTGTCATGAAATGTTGTTACTTAGTTTATTACATTGTTTAGGCAACTTCTCTTGTTTCTCCAGAGTGTTCTTTAGGAAATATTCAAGAAAAACCAGTTTGCCATAGTATGACCTTTGCGTACCTCTCAGGAGAATAGACTACATCCTATTGCTATGAAACTACAATAAAGAGACTCTTTACCTGTTTTTGCATTGTTTAAAGTTGTTTCTAAATTTTCCTTGTTGCTGGTTTTTTAGTTATAACAATTTACATTCAGCCATTTTGCTAAGATGCCATTGATTGCTGCCATTAATTTTAATGAATAATAACAGAGTCTGATAATTAACTTCCGGTCCGTAACCAATCCCAGTTATGTTAGTCTATTATATCACTGTTATAATTGCCAATCATAATCTACATTAATTTTAAAATTAGTTTAAAATTAAAATTATCAATCATATACATGAATATCTCATACCAATGAGTTTTAATTGCTGACATTACCAATACTTATTATAACATACCCTATCAATGATGATACCATTCGAACCATTGACACTGCATCCAGTCGTCCATTCTATAAAAACAGAATATACAAATATCTTATACGCATACATACATGTACATGCAATTAAACTATTAAAGTTATTTTTGTCTTGAGAATAAATATTGAAACTACATGAACATGTATAATAACTATACACTTCACAATAGTAGGCAGAGTAAGTGTATCAGAATTAATTCTCATACATTTACTCAAATAAGTGAAGTGTACATGTATTTAATTATTCTTAAATACACATACTCATAAATTAAAAATAACTGTGTATTGTGAGTATTATAATTGTTGTGTATTTCATCTTGACATTTATTTACACTATTGTTGCACTAATACTAGATCATCCACCATCATAAAACACACCAATGGGATATTACATACACACCCTGTGATATGCTAAAAAGTGGCACAACTCAAATACAAGACTACATAATTTGCCAAGTTGTATGATATTCATGAGAACTTTCTATTGGCTAGAATGGCAATTAGGTAATTATCGCTTAATATACATGTATGCATGAATACTATAACAAATAAGTTTCACAAAATAATAGAGGGAGACGCAAAACATGTAAAGTACTTTGATTTCTTGATCATAAAAGCTCTTCTCCCATTAACGACACTACTAAGGTTCATTGATTAGTTCCCATCCTCATGTTACCACAGCATTTTTGCAATAATAATGCATGCAATTTATACTAGTGATATATAATGATACTTCCAAAGAATTATTATCACTACCGACCAGCTCAAACTACATGATAAATCTAATTGAAATGGTCAAATGTGTTGATCTTTTGATTTCCTTTTGATATAAGTCGTAAACATTAGTACAGGGACTGTAGGCACATGGATTATACAAACAATGAAACATCATCACTACTACAGTACTAGCTAATACATAGTAGTGTAGTGAAAGATAAAGAATGTGTAAAACTTTTATCATTTACTGGTATTCATAAGCATTCTTTCAGAGCTCTTACTCTAGTAGTACTGCGGTACGTGGCAGTCTATATGTATACAAAAAGACATGGCATGAATATTAATTTGTACACAGTGTATATATAACGTATTAACATGTTAACAAATGGTGTGCTGTGAATACCGCGACTAAATTTACGCCATAACCCACTTCATTTCTTGTCAACAGACAGCTATTTCTAGAAAAGTGGTCAGGATTTAGATCATCACACATACTGCACCAATATCTGCTTCGATTCACGAACAAGATCTATCCAAGCTTCTCTCCCTCGCTAGCCATTGTGACGTGAGTGGGTGTTAGGCTCCTCCTTTGACTCGTCCTAGAATTCCTGAGCAGCTAAGCCAGCTAAGCAGCCATATAGACTCCACTTCTAAAATGAGTTGCTTCAATGAATCACTTGACAGTGAAAACTGCTTTCTTTCTCCTGAAAGAGTGAGTATTTCCTTATCTTATTGTCTAGATATCTGTATTAATAGGCCGGTATCTATGACGCAATTGCTGGGATTAGAATGATTTCTTCACTCTTAGGGTAAAGCTCAGCATACACTGAGCCACTTTGTTGCCAGTACCTTGGATGTGGTCAGACAACATGTTGCCAGAAGTTGAGAGTCTCTCTACTTTCTGCAACATGTTGCCCAGTGTTGCTCAATCACATCAAAGGTCTGACCACAAGTTGCCATCAGCAAAGTTGCTCAGTGTATGTTCCGCATAAGGGTATGATTGCCACTATGAACTACTAGAAGCAATGTAGAACATTAAGGGGCGAGCCTAAGCTAGCAAAGCAATTATGGCACTGGATCTATCCATCTATAATCTACTCCCGATGATTTCAAAGCATGCATCATGATTTAGGCATAGCAAACATGATTTACATGATGAAAGTTTAATGCTGCTGATAAAATTAATAAACTTTTAGTCTTCTAGTTTCACATACACATTTCTTGCCTATAAATGTCTGTAATAATGCTTTACTTAGCTTTAGATATAATATTATCCAATATTATGACTGAGAAAAAGCTTGATTGACTTTCACAGTTTTAATAGCAATTGCATCAGTAAAGACGAGCTTCATAGGTTATTAATTGAATTTAAAACCTTCTATAGCTGCTGGGGAAGTCTTTGGACGGTGTATCTGCCTTATATTGCTGCTAGAAAGCTCATGAATTCTTCCAGTGTGTTGGTTGCCATTTTTATTTTACTGTGACCGCTCCCACTTTCAATGAAAAATTGAAAATTGCATTGGTAATGCATGCATAGTATCTATCTACCGTATTAGATCTACGCATAAATAGGGGTGACGTACGAGGACAGACATACAGTACAGACAGAGGGACAGACGGGGCGTGACTGAGAGTATAGCTAGAGTGGGGCGAGCTCAGGCTCGCCCCAATTATAAGTTCACAGTTCTATACTTTAAAAGCATTTTACTCACCCCGTTAAGTTCAGTGGGTGATTGTTTGCCTCTTGATATCTAGCAAAGTAGATATTAAATATTGTCAGCAAATTCCTATTTTATTTTACTGTAGAGTTTTTGGAGCCACTTCCATAATTTTCTCAGTTATTTGGAAGCGCAGATTATTACATTCAGAAGTTCATCCAATTTTTATGCTTTCCTTGTCTGATTGCTTGTTAGCACTACTGTGGATAACTGGATCATCAATATGGCTCTCAAGTGCAAGAGATAAGGCAGCTTGGTGCTATTCTCTCACACTTATAACAGCTGTAATGATCATTTATGTTGCCTCATTTAGAGCTTCCTTTCTTAGGTAATGGAATGTATCGCTGTTAATTTAACTGTAGTATATTCAGTGTTTGCATATGCAAAAATTCGAAAGACAGACCTGAATAGTGTTTTGGTAGGCATTAATGATGATAGTAGCAGATTTTGAAATAATCGTTATAGGCTCACTCAATTCGAAATGAAATTTCATGGAAAGTAACTGTGCCTGTTTACAGTGTTGCATGGTATGTTCACATTTTTCATACTTTATTCATGCTAGTATACATTATAGGTCCTTCCCTTTGTTTTTCATCATACTAGTCTTTAGTGTCACTATAGGTAGCAATACAGATTTGCTCTCAAAAGTTAACGAATGCTCATGCTGGTATTTAATCAACCCTTTTTTATGTGAACTCTATTTTACATTTAGGTGTATACCATCTCTTATAAATATATTTCCTGCTGTAAAAGATATTAACAAGGTAAATTATCTTATTCCTGAGTATGATTTAAAATATCTTTCATAGAATACAATGATTATGAGACATCTGCAAGCAAGGCTAATGGTTGGCCTTGGCATAGTCATAATACTACATTATCTACTGGCCTTTATATTGCTTATGGTTAGTGAAGTATTAAAACAAATATTTTTCCCTTTTCTATAAATTTATTTTTTAAAGGTACTTTACAAGAAAATTCTTAACAAAATCAAAAAAATTCGACAAGAACATGGTACAGCAAATTTTTAAGGAACTTTTAGTTTGTTTTTTTTATTATTTAGAGCAACTAGTTTTTGGACGGAAAGCTATTGATAATTCTAATCATAGCAAATATGGATCGGCTGAAAAAAATCGTATTGAAGTAGGGCACTCTGAAGCTAAAAAACGTGTTGTTCTGTTTATTAGTGTATTTATTTGCAGTGGTCTATTCAGTAAGATGCTTTGAATAATTTACTCTATAGTTTTTATACATCTAGATATGGTACTTGCAATCCTTCTTGTTGTCTTTCTTTCATCCTATTTGGCCCATGATCATGATGAGGCAACAAACCACAGCCATGATTCATTATTTGATATTTTTAAAGGGTTTATATATGCACAAGTAAGACTAAAATGCCATTTATTAGCCTCAAAATTTTTTATTAATTTTTGGTAGTCCCTCACATTACCTTTGCAAGGTTTTATGAATGCTATTGTTTATGGCTGGACAAGAGATGACTTTGTTCATACTATTGCTATTAACAGAACTGAAGAAATGAATTCTGATGTTCCAAACAATTTTTCTAATGCCACTGAGCTTATCTATAATGAGTCATCTAGAGACAATGATTTTGAAGAAACAATTAACGCTAATAGTGACCGTGACAGTGACTAAAAATTTTCAATGAGAAATGTTTTATTGATGCCACTTTTACTTTTTGTGTTACCTTTTATTTGATTTTAATATTGCTGCCTTCAAAATTAAAAATATTACAAGTGCTGTGATACAGAAGTTTCTCAATACATAATAAATGTTATTCTAAACTCAGACTGCAGTTGCTCTACATGCATAATTTAGATGGCACATGGTGGGGGTTGGTAAAACAGGGATGGGGACTGGGACGTCAATGGTAAAAATGGGATGTGGACATGGGGCATCAAAAAGGGACGACAAACGAGAATTACGAGATGGAAGTAGATAGCAAGATGGACTGACAATGGACATCAAGCAAGGGTAAAGGGCTAAAGGCTAAGTCCATAATCCCTGCATAGATCTATTATTGTTTTATTAGAAGATTACTAATGATCTACATTTACCTTGTTAGTATGGTGTCAACTTTATTAATTTTAATCATAAAATTGCGGAGAATAAATGCATGTGCATAAGTACAAACAATTCTAATGAGAAAGAAAATAATAAGCATAAGAGCCTTGCTGCTGTAAATGTTTTAAGCTGAGCTCCAAAAATCTCTGTTCTTAAGTTGAACCAACGCCATTATGGTAGAAAAATTTCTTTCCATGCCAATTGATCACAGCAGTATAATGTATCCCACTATGCAATGAAAATTCAGCTAATCTGTATAATTATTTGATCAAATGCAACAATTACTCTAGGCAGCTGTTCGCACTGGTAACCAGACAATTGGGCATTAAAAGGTATTATCTATGGGCTGTCATAACTAAACTTAGCCTCAGTTACAGTAGGTTAACCATGACATTCATAAAAGCATTCCATCTTTTGCTTGTTGTCTTTATCTATCACAGATATGTGATTTGATCCACATTAGGTGGTGGGTAAAAAAATTTGCCACAAGGTATGTCTAAAAAATGTCTCCTGAGGGAGAAAAAAATTTCCTTACTTGATCTATAATCTCTCCATCAGCATTAAGTAAGTTAAAACTGAAGGGACACATTCTTCTGACTTCGTCTTCTGCCACGGTATGTGGACAATGTGAGGAGGGATATTTCTTTGTAACATAAATACTCTATACATGTTTCAGAAAAGATAGGGTCTTATCAAACTCATGCATGCCCAAAAAAGCTTCCAATAACATTTGATGCCATATTCATGTGCTTCATAATTGCAACTCTTCCTTCCTGTAGATCTATATGCTTTTAGATCTAAATATCATCAACCTTAGTCGGTACAGGACAGTCTTGGGTTTAAGTGAAGTACTTTCTCAAATTCACTATTTCCAATCCTCAAAGTGAAATCTGTATGATCCTGTTGGCCAGTGGCGGTGCCAGGTCAATGAAACAGAGGGGGCACTATATACAGGAAAGGGCACTAGAAGAGTCAGTCAAGAATGGCCTGGGAGGCATTTACATTAAAAATACTAGTGCTTTAATTAGAATTTTGCGAACAGGGTGGGCCTGTGCCCTCCAGGCCCCCCTTAAAACCGCCAGTGCTGTTGCCAGTTGGCAGTGTAGCAGAAGCACAGTGTATCGAAATTATCAAATGTGCATGGTGTCAGTGAATCCGGAAACTTTCCAAGGGATAGTCTGTGGTACCTGACATAAGATACATACAAAATCATCTTTAAGGCCACAGGCTTTGAAACAATACATATGGTACCACACAGTGCACAAACAACACTGGTACATGTTGAACTCTATCTGTTGTACTCAGTGGCGGATCTGGGCCCGGGCCTAGACGAGCCATGGCCCGGGCATCAGAAGTCAGTAATGAGATTCATTAGATGCAATGTAAACAATTCCCTGCCTCAAGTTTTGATAAAGCAAACCACAAGCCACACCAGAGTACTTACAAATGCTCTTCAAGCACAGCATAGATGAGGAAATTGTTGAAACCCATCATATACTATAGCTACTGTAAGATCAAAGGGACCGCCGGGTGTTATATAAGCCATATCAACCTAACCACAGCTAGTTAACGATATTCACTAGGTAGAATATGAAATTAATGAGATTCATTGGGAATGTTATCAGTAATCAGATGCAAGAGCAATCTGCACATGCGCTGTAACCATCACGTGGTAAAAAATGGCAGCCTAGTAGTAGACTAGATGCGATTATATTCAATGAAAAGGAAGCTTCTATACGGAGGTAGATGTTAGCAGAAAGCTCCCAGAAGGCTTTCATCGTTCCTCCTATAAAATAAGAGAGAGGGGAAATGGGGAAATCTAATCTCCTGGAACAGGAACAAAATGCCAAGTTAGAGTTTCTCAACCGGGCCGCCTCTGTAGATCCATAGATCTTACAGTAACAACAGAATATACTATATATAACATGTCTTCTTGGTGTGTATCAGCAATATAGGACCCGAGCCCCGAGATATCTGCCCGAGGCGAAGCCGAGGGCAGATATCGAGGGGCGAGGGTCCTATATTGCTGATACACACCTCNGAAGCCATGTTATATATATTACATAAAAATGGCCAAAAGATGCATAACCATAAAATAACTGGTTGAAAAGTGGACACACCCACTTCCTGGCCCTACCATTAACTTGCACCCAGATCCGCCACTGGTTGTACTGTCAAGTATAATAATCTTTCCTTCAGATTTCTAATCTCCTGTCAAAAAATACATTGCTGGATGTGCTAATGCCAGTAATAAGTCCACCTTTACAATCGAAGATCGTGCTCTTAGCAAAAATAAGCAATTATTAATAATTACATTAATTAGTAGTGAATTAAAATTGCAGTTAGGTACACAGCCAAGAATTGAAGTCTGTATCTGTCCAGATTACGGCAGTGTATCAGGTACCGTAGATCATTGTGATACACTAACTTTGGGCAGTAAACCGTATCATGATGTAGCTACGGGAGACATACTTTCTGTAAAACATCCTGTATCACTCCGTATACGGTAGTGATGGGCGATTCCGAGTCCGGAGTATTCGATCCTTCGATTCCGAATGGAATCGTACTCGTATCGAAAGAGAAGTAGGAATCGTTTGAAACGATTCCGAATTAAACCACACCCAACCACACCTTTTAATATTAATAATAGTTAATAAATCAGCAGTTAATACCTTAATTATTGCTGTAATTGATACCACGTGGCTTTGCGCATGCGCAGATGTAGTCTCGGAATCGGTATTCGATTCCATCGATTCCAGTCTCAGAAGTATTCAGAATCGGAATCGAATGCAAATTTCTGGATTCGCCCATCACTAGTATACGGTAATGATTCATGACTGAACTCATTACATATTCATTGCAATTAGATCTATTATTATTATTACTATTAATTAATAACTATAATAATTTTTAAATTTAATATTAAAAATCACAAAAATTAAAAGTAAGTTATCTGTTGTATTCTGTCTTTAATTTCTTGATCAATTGGCCTTTGTCTGATGAGCTAGCTGTGACTAAAAAAGTCAGGGATTATATACAATACCAACATGAAGAAGTCATACTTTCATGTAGAGGTGCAGATTGACTAATGGACTGTATACTTTTTGCGTTTTTAGTCAGTGATTTCTATGTTAAAGGAAGCAACAATAAAAGCAACACTAATAAAATGTACGTACCAACCTTATATGCTTCATTATACCATTATTAATTTCTTAAATATCTAGAACATTATGAAGTTAAACAGAGTATTTCTCAAGTGCTAACCTTTCCTTTGTGCTCAACATTCATTCATTCATTTAATTCATACCTATACCTATCAT